ATATATATATAAAAGTTGAATTGTACGACATTGTGACTCCATTGAGTAGAAAATCTGAAGTAACCAAATGAAACCGGTTAGTAGAAATGGTAATATTCTATAATTGAATAATAGAAAAGTTCAATTTTTATATTTTGTATAAAATTTATATACAGCCAATTAATCAAATTTTATAATAGAAATAATTTAAAATAATTATCACAAAACTTAACCAAATTCAAAATAAACATAAATACAAAATAACAGCAATGATGTTTAATTAATCATGTTAAAATATTTTGAGCCAAAGTGATTGTAAAAATAATATGTATTATTATATAAATTTCATATTATAAAAAATTAAATAATTATTTAAACAAGTTATTTAGATAAATATGCTCCATTTGAGTATTTGACTTAATTTTTTTAAAATATAATGGCCTATTATTTCTATTTTCTTTGAAATATTTTTCAAAATAGTTTTTTTAAATATGCATGAAAAATTAAATCATTGCGAGATTCGATAATATTAATATCCAAAACATCCTATTCATTAAATATTTTTCATATATGAAAGTTGAACCGTGTTTTATTCCTACAGGGCAGAAAATGTGAGAATCATAATGCATTACTTTCATTTTCATATATCAATTTATATATTAATTGCATGTTTTTGGTAACTATTTTGATTGAAACAAAAATTTATAATTTTGTTTTGAAATAAAAATAGAGAAAAGTTATACCTCTTAGAAACTTATAACTTAAATGAATGTTTTATGATTAAATGATTGTCAACTTTCGAGAATAAGTTAATGAATCGATCAATGAAAAATCTTTTAGTTAGTATCAACAATGTCTCATTAGATCTCACAACCAAATGTTGATCATAATTAAATCATTTTAACAAAATTTAAATAAAAAATTATGAATCAAAAAATACTATCAGTTTTATACTCTAGAAATAATCATCCTCCTTCAATCAAGTCAGAATTTGAAACACAACAAAATATGATTTTCTCCAAAACCATACAAAACACTTGTATTGAATTAAAAGTTAAAATAATAAAATAAAATAAAATGCAAATGGCTTAGGAAGCACTGACCTTGAAGGGACATTGCAAATTGATGAGGAAGAGACAGTGCGATAATGTGGAAAATCAGTAGAGGAAGAAGCATAATGAAGGTGACTTGGTAAGTTTGAATGAGATTAACTCTGAGCCATATTTTCACATAAGCATTAAACTCTTTCAATTCATGTGAATTATAGAAAGGAAAGAAAGGATCCTTTTAAGAAAATATATGCTTTTTGGGAAGTAGTAGCCTTCTCGCACAAAGATTTACCGCAAAATTCATTATCATCAAACATGTACGAATAATTTGTTTTAATTAATGAGATTATATGAGAAGAAGAATGATAGTCTAGTTATATAATTATATGTATTTATAATTAGAAATGGTTTCTAAAAGAAGAGAAATGAATGCATAGCAAATTGCATAAAATTAATTTTTACATGTAACAATTAATTTTAAATAAATAGTAGAAACTTAATAGGTATGCAATAATTAGATAGAAGCTAAGAAGATAAATGAAAGTGCAAGTCTATATGAATTCAATATTTAAACTTTTTTCTATTTTACTACTTGCATAATTGGTGCATTTTTCAAAAGTCTAACATGTTCTCTTTCCTTAACTTCAAAATTCTTCTCTAAATAATGCTACAATTATTATTATTATTACTATTATTATTATTTATATATATATTGCTCTTACCAAAATCTACTAGTTCTCCAATAAAGAGGATGACATCCTAATTGCTCCAATATTTGTGACGCTGAAAGGCACACATAAAGGCATTTTGACACTTAAGTTAGAAAAAAATTTAAGTTAAAAATGAGATTAAGGTTAGAATGATACTTGATGTCTATATGTGATTGATCTTATTTCTAAACTTAGAGATAATATTATATGATTTTTAAAAATATTCTGAATTAAATATGTCCAATAACAATATAAATTATGAATGAGACGATTGATCAACTGTGCTAATAGATCCAACTCCTTAGAGTCTCTTTCATCTCCTAATTAAAATTTCATGAAATTTTGTTGTACGATAAAAGATAGTTAATTCCTATGCAACACAATTATTAAAAAATTTATAGTAAAAAAGAAAATTTTGATACTTGTTACAATATTTTTTTGAAATCTCAAACTTTTAATTGGTATTGAGATCTTGAATTGAGTTATAGTTGGACTCAACGAATTTTGACCAAAAGCTGCCTATACTATTTGTGGTTAGAAGCGTCTAAAACCTTACGCCTGATGCTAAGTAGACTATATATATACACACACGTTGCTCTTTTCTCACTCTCACGACATGTCTAGTAATAATAATTTATACGTTTTTTTTTATATGTTAATATCTCCTTATCATATTATTTAGAATAATTTATACTAATACGTCAAGAGGGTTTCTTGAAATTACATACAACTTTCTTGTTATTTTAACGTTTACTAATACCATCCTATATATGGATAATATTTTTGAAACAAATAAAGTGGTTAATGTACTATCACAGTGGTGTAAAAAAAACCATTAAGAAAAGTTAGTATTGGATAGAAAAAAAAAACAAAAAAATTATTTATAATCTCATTTAACTTTGTAGAAATTTTAATATAACTTAATTATTTATTGTATCTCATATTTGTCTTTGCATCCCTCCCTTTTTATTTGTTTCATTATCAAGGGGTATTCTTTATCAAATACAAAAAATTAACCTCTTAAAAATTTGATAAGTACTAAATAAGTGGGTATCTTATTTTTAGTTTGAATTTTTTGCATTTCTAAGAAGCAAAATTAAAAGCCAACCATTTGGTTAAACAACATAAGCCCCTCACCAATAACATCATCCCAAGTTGGTCTCATCTTTTCCTTTTAAGATAATATTTAGACTAAATTATATTTTTGATCCCTTTATTTTTATCGATACGTAATTTTAGTCCCTATATTTTAAAATTGAGACATTTGATCATTATATTTTTTAAAATATAAAATTTTGATTTTATTGTTGATTTGATATTCGTTGATCATTAAGTTTTGACTTTGTTTAGTAACCTATCACAACTTAAATGATGTGATATTTAGTAACATAATATGTAGTGATAATTAAAAAAAAAATACAAAAAGTCTTTGTTTATATAAATATATATATATATATATATATATTAACAAGTAATTAGTAATTATTTTATTAATAAATTTTATTTGTATGCTTTTTTTTTAAATTTTTTATATATCCAAATATCGTATTATTAAATATCAAATCACATAAATATGAATAAACGTTAAAAATTAATAATTAGTAGATATTAATTTAATAAAAGAACTAAAATTTCATATTTTTAAAATTAGAAAAATTAAATAATTCTATTTTAAAATAAAGAAACCAAAATTACATATCAATGAAAATGAAAAAAAAAACTAAAAATGTAACGACTCGCCAAGTCTCACATAGTCTGTAGCGTCAGGGAAAAATATATAATATACATTTCCCTCACCATGTACAATGCATAAAATAGAACATCACGACTAAACAATTATGTACACCATGAGAATAGACAACTAAAATCTCATATCTACATATACAATCGAAAATGTGACATAATATAATATATATAATATCTGGCAGCCACTACATCAATAAAACAAAATAAAAAGATTAGCTCTCCTGCTAAGTCTCATCCAAAAAGCTAGCCTATCCGTCACAGCATAACACTTCCTCCTGATCTGCTCACATATAAAAGTATGATCATCGGAGTCCCAACCACAAGGGAAATAGTTAGGATAATCTCATAGAAATAATCATCATAAGACAACATCATGATATAATAAACAACAATAGAGTACTACATGTCAACTTTCACCTTCAACTTGAAATGCAACAATTACATCAATAACAACAACATATGCTACATCAACTAATGCGTCCTCATGTATATACAACTAGGAGATCTCTAACAACTGAGGTTGAGCAGTCTAGGTGGCATAAATCCTACCGAATCCAACATTAGACCTATCTCAGTCAGGTTAAGTATAGGACATTGTTAGGAACTCCGAAGAGAATCAGTTATATGCAACAATAGTTGATTTCTCAAGTGTGCCACTTAGACTTGGAGGTCTAGTACTATTGTCAAGATAGAAAGGTTTGGATATGAGTTATAAGCTTTTTTTTTTTTTTTTTTGAGATAATTATGCTGACATTTGGGTAGGATTATGGACAACATTTTCCTTCCTTCTAAGTATTTGTATTGGTGTATATTTAGATTTTGAATTCAAACCAGTACTTAAACTAGAATAATTAATTTCTTATTATTGATCACGTGTTTGATGATAGAAAAGCGCTATTTTTTTTACCTCTAGTTGCACATCTCTTATATGTTAATTTAACATTAAAATTTAGTTTCATACTCATCATATATCTTAACATGTGCAAAATCGTCATTAGCTTTTCTATGCAATTATAGTTGTTGCCGGAAAAATTAAAGTAACGAGATCCACGAGGTCCAGGTTGTGTTATCTAATTGTTATTATAATGTTGCATGAAACTTCGAACTAATCTTAATTATATATCACGTGTACAGAGCGATAGTACATACTTGGATATAAAAGCTTAACAAAATAGTATGGTATAACTAGACAAATATCTTAACAAAGGCATGGACATTAGGGGGAAAATTTGGATCACATGAACTTGATGAAATATAAAAAGACTAAAATACGTAAAATAGAGCCAATCGATCACCAGCACATGGCAACATGTCAACGTGTCCTCCATGCTAATCAATGAATGACTAATTAAAATTATTTTCTTCGATCTTATGCCCGAGGCATAATTCTTTCTGGAAACAAAATACTGTATTTTGTTATTTGAGAAATTATATTTATAACATTTATTTTATTTTATTTTTATATATTTAATGGAACAACACATGTGTTGTTGGTCTTCTTGAGTATATATCTATATACTTAAATTATTAAGCATAGAGATATTACGTTTCTCGATGATCAAATTCAAATTTATAGAGATCGACTACTCCCACATTTCAAATCAAACAACACACAACTACATACTTTGATCTTTAACCTACCATAATTTTGTATGGCACCTCAAAAGGAACCTTTCAAGCTTACCTTGAAAGAAGTTGTACTCATCAAACCATCCAAACCAACACCTTCTTCCATTCTTTCTCTGTCTACACTTGACAACATACCCGATCTTAATAGCCTGTGCCAAACCGTTCATGTATACAGATCAAGATCTACATTTCATGATTCTGAACTAGGTTGCCCTAATGACCAACTACTACAAGACCCTGCTCATGTGATCAAAGAAGCACTCTCAAAGGCTTTGTTTTATTACTACCCTCTTGCAGGTAGGTTACTAAAGAACACTGATGGGAAGCTTAGAATCAATTGCAATGCAGATGGTGTTCCATTCTTGGAAGCAAATGCTAGTTGCCACCTTTCTTCTATTCATTACTTGGATGGCTCTAACATGGAAAGTGCAAAACACTTGGTGTTTGATCTTCCTACTTATGATGAAAGTGGCTACCCCTTGGTGTTCAAGGTGACAAAGTTTCCTTGTGGTGGCTTCACAATTGGAATGGGGCTGTCACATGCTGTTTGTGACGGTGTTGGAGCCTCTCAATTCTTGAGAGCCATCATTGATTTTGCAAGAGGGAAAAAAGAGCCCGCAGTGAAGCCTGTGTGGGAGAGAGAGAGGCTAGTGGGAACAATCACCAAACAGCCCTTGCAAATTGATTATGTGGATGAGACTTCAGCTGCAGTTTCACCTTTTTTGCCAACAAAACTTCTCATGCATGAGTGCATCAAGGTGGACAGTGAGAGCATCACAAGGCTCAAGATGAGTTTGATGAAGGAAGGTGACATTGGTGAAAGCTTCACAGGTTTTGAATCACTTGCTGCATATGTGTGGAGGTCAAGAGTTAGGGCCCTAAAACTGAGCCATGATGGGAGGATTATGCTGAACATCACAGTTGGGGTGAGAAGACAGATGCTGGATCCTCCTTTGCCTGAAGGGTACTATGGGAATGCAATTGTGGATGCTGATATTATCTTAACAGTGAGGGAACTCAATGAAAAGCCACTCCATGAGGTTGTGAGGCTCATCAGAGAAAGCAAGAGGGTTGCTTGCAATGTTGATTATGTGAGAAAATACATCAACACTTTAGAGACGGAACAAGAGGATTTGGATGTTAAAGGAAGTGGTGCATTCTTCACTATGACTGATTGGAGGCACTTGGGGTTCTTGGAAAATTTGGATTTTGGATTTGAGGAACTTGTGAATACTGTACCTGCTCCATGTGACATGTTTGGGTCGGTTGATTTGTGCATTTTCTCTTCTCTTAGCAAATTGGATTCTTCTATGAAAGGAGGGGTTAGGATTTTTGTGTCCCTCCCTTGTGATGCCATGATCAAGTTCAAGGAGGAAATGGAGGCTCTAAGCTTTTTCAATTGAACACTTACTATAGGTTCAACAAATGTAACTTGTTCTTTTTCCAACTACTTCCCACGTTGTATGAATGTAAGATCAATCTCTTTTGAAAATAAATGATATGGTTATGTCCATTGTATACACGGCATGTCTTGGAAATTCAAAGTTTTATCCTCTAAATTAAGTATGGTTTAAATACCACTGCCCCATTTCTTTCAGTAACTATGTGGCACTTCTTTCTTCAACCTAATCTTTTTCATGATTATTGTAGATGAAAATATACAGAACTTGAAGATATTTATTTGTACAACACAGCGGATGAATTGAGTTTATTTAGGAAGTCTAATATTGATGTAATATTCTATTAATTGTTATCTCATGGTAATTAATATTCTTGATTTGTTTATTGAAAGAGATATTATTATTAAAGCAAAGATCCTATAGTATATGCATTAAATTATCTCTTGCGATCTCTATTCTGCAGACAAAATATAAAGAATGCCATCGGGATACACTTCGTTTTTATTATATTTTTCTGGCTGTCCATTTCTGATTCTATATATATTTTCTTTTTGTTCTGGTTTAATATATGCACATATGAAAAACATTTTACAGGGTTTATTATTTTTTACAGAGTAAAGAATTTTGAATTCCTTAATTTTACGAACAACACATGCTATATATATATATATATATA